TTAAAACATTATTGTAAATATATAAAACTTTAAATGATGGAATACGAAAATTTCAATAAAAATTCATTAAATTTTCTATATGAGTAAAACCCAAGAAATTACTCTACATAATTTAAACAAATTACATTAATTTTTATTTATAGTTCAAAAAATTTTCTTATTCATTAATTGGCTTTTAATCTTTTGTTAAAATGAACATTATAGTGAGATACGTATATCTTTCGAAGTTAATTCTGAATTAATAGATTAAAATGCTTTTTAAAAAGCCGAATTTTTTAATTAACAGATAAGATTGTACAATATGTACCGAAATAATTTACATCAGTAAATAAGTTATTTTATCTAAAACGTTTTAATAGATTATTGAAATTGAATATGATCAAAATTCCTTTCCAAAACTGAATAAGTAAATAATATTACGAAATTGTGAATGAAAAATTTTAAGATTAGTTGACATAGACATAAATTTTATTTCTTGTATCAGTTCGTTAGCCATATATTATTATTATTATTATTATTATTATTATTATTATCATTATCATTATTATTATTATTATTATTATTATTATTATTATTATTATTAGATATGCGTTCTTGAGATAAAATCACATGTTGTGTAAAAGAAAAAAAAGAAAAAAAAATAACTAATGCATCATTTTTACCAACACGAAGTCGGACAATTGTATAAACCAATGTACAGCTGTTGATAAATTAAATATGCTGTTATTTTATCTCATATGTGTTTAAATTGGCATTATTATAGGAACATTGCTTCAAGAAACTATCTTTAAAATTAAAATAATTCTATTAAAGTATTATTTAATATTTTAACATATACTCGAATGACATTAAAAGTTTATTTATTTAACTTTATTACAATAAAATACACGTATATATTGTAATATATTTTAAAACTAGATAATGTGATTACGAATAATTTATTTAAAATTATATTATACATATAGATATGTGCGTGTGTCTGTTCTTGCGTGCGCGCCTGCGTGAGCGTTAAAATAATAATTTAACTATTCAAATAATTTAAACTTATAAAGCAACTTTTTAATGAACGCTAGATTTATTAAAAACCTGCATTGTACACTCATATTTGAAGATATATTCATTTTATTTTGACGAAAAATATTTTTATTACGAATAAGTATTATCATTTATATGTACAAACATGTAATATATTCTTAAAGGAACTTTGTACACAAAAGCATCAATACTTGAAATAATAAATGACGCTATAGTCTATGCATATAAATGTTTGTATATCTTTCAACTTAACGATTTTATTATTCAGTACTTTAGTTAATGAAACTTAAATTTAAATCTGATAATTAACTCCATGAAATTTTGTAATAATGTTGAGGAATTAATGAATTTTATTTCTGTATTAGGCAATTTGGTAAATACTGTATAACATATTTTATTCGTGTTGAAGGGTATTACAAAGTATATAAGGAAATATAAATTTCAATTTATTGCAAAGTAGCTTCAGAGACATAATTAACTGAACGAATGGTTTAAATGTAGAAAATTTATAATAATAGGGACTTTCTCGTATAGCGAATGAATGTAATATAAATTTTATAATACTTCCGGAGAAATTGACTATTTCTGCGTTAATTCAGTTATAAGAATATATATATATATATATATATATATATATATATATATATATATATATATACACACACATATACATATACATATACAAATAGCTGGTAAAAATAGCCTTTATTAATTAAAATATTACGTTGTTGTATTTTTATTTTTTAGGTTCGAGGGTATTAGAGCTTTCTACATTCCTCACTGTAATTGCACAATATCAATACTTTTGTGCGTGGACATTTTTTTTTTTGTATTATGCTCGATATTTGTCGGTAGTGTGAAATGGTCAGGCGACCAATCGGTGGAGATTAAAATTTTGTCCGTGATAACGTGCCGGTGATGTCTCTATCTGTAGTGGTACAAAATAATCGGATGAGTAGCGGCTGAAGGAGTCATACATCGTTCGAACGCTTTTGCTACTAGAAATGCTGCGATCGTTATGCAATCGATAAATGTATGCCATTATAGACGCCTCTTTGTGTTCGTTAGGATCGAATATGCAAATTAGGATACTTATGCATTTTGTCATATTCTCCTTTCATATAAAATTGGATTTTATTTTGTATCACTTTGTCGCACTAGGAATTATTGTAAATATTTTTGCACCTAATAGAATTTAGAATTTGTTTCTCTTCTACTATCGAATATTCCAGTATTTGCTTAATCTTCGCTACAATCCAAACAAAAACAAAAAAAAAAAACAAAAAAAAAAAATTACTTAAAAATCTTTTATAGGGTAAGAAATACTTAATATTTAAATAAGGTATCGTGTCTTGTCCTGAATTGAAAATATTTGTTAATAGTGTATCTGGAAATTCCTACGTCGTAAGTAATCTATTAATTTAAAAATACAATGAAATTGATATTATAAGCAATGGAAGCTCAAAGTGCAACGAGCAACAGGATGCTAATACCACTTAGATGAAGGAGAAAGTATGAAAAGACGAGATAAAAAGAAGGTGGGAGTAGAGCGTAATTTTCGTTCTCTCTTACACTTCTTCTCGCGTTCTCTCGCTCATTTTCTATTTCTTTCTCAACTCCCGATGAAAATACCCGTACAGCATCTAATAATATAGGAGCGTGACTATAAGTCGACGATCTGAGCGCTCAGTGTACAAGACAAGACGCGCTTCAAAGCAAGTTACCAGAATTACAATAATTAACAATTAATCACGCGCGCACCTTGATTCTAATCATCTTCCTTTTATACTTTGCCTCTTCACTTTTGCATGCATTGTCCATCTAATTTCACGGACATATCACGAACTTTCGAGACTTCACTTTACTCAAACGATAAAAAGATGACGTTCCTAGTACTGCAAAAATCAGGCAATCATAATAAAAGTTATCCGTTAAAACAGTCTTTCCACTGACCTTATTCAGCCCAATCTGCTTAAGCTTAAACCCTACCCCCTTTTCTTACCTAGAACACTAAAAAAAACTTAGTTTATTCATATAACATTATTCATGAATATTTGGATTTTTGTTTAAGTATGTCGTACACGTTGCATTAACATATTACATCGTATCTATATCAACGATGCATTTATAAATTAAAAGCTTTTCCGGAGTATTATTTGTTGATTTGCATTAAAATACAATTGAAATAATTCTTCTTACCTTACGTATCATCAGTTAAATTTCATGGTTTTCTCAATATAATTATAGATTTATTATCATTTTAAAATCAAACTTGATACTTCACAATTACTATTTATATTCTTGTATAATAATGAACAAACAAAAACAAAACAAAAAAAAAAAACAAAAAAATGAGATATTTCATTTATATTACGTGAAAACTAATTTTAAAAGTTAATATTTTAAATTGCCATCTTTATTATTGGATAGTTTATTTGTCAAATAAGAAGTATAATATACATTTAAGAGAATAAAATGAACTTTAGCGTGTTAATCCGTTATCCGTACAGACTTTTGAATTTTATAGAATTAATAAACTTTTAATACAATGGTCCAAGACGTTTGTAAAATATTTACGAAGAGAATTAACGAATCTGAATATATTTTTACTCCCGTCAATTATGTATTATGCAATCGATAACACAGTCTAGCGTTAAGGGTAAAATTTATTTAATCTTATCATAAAGTATCTTAACACTCTTCTATACATTGTATTTTATTAAACGTAATGATTTTTATGTTTAAATTTTAATTAAATTAAATAATAAATAAATTTGAATCGACATTATAGTTAATGTCTATTTTATTACTATGTTTTTTCAAATAGATTTATATTTTAAAGACTTTCGTGGAGATTTCATTAATGTTTTGTAAAAATGAATATAGTATTGCATTTACAAGATGTGAGAAACTTTTTGTATAATATAATATAATATAATATAAATGTAATTAGTAACGAGTAATAATAAGCGAACAAAAATAGAGTGCGTTTCATCGAGCAATGCTTGGATTAAAAAAAAAAAGATTTATTTAATTTTTCTTTACATTACATTAATATTTTATTGTACGTAATAAAATTAATTACATTGATTAAATATTTCGAGCAGTGAAATTTACTCAAATAATAATTGGAAGTACGATATTAATAATATTGTGATTAAATTATTTATAAATTGTGTAACTCTATTGGGCGTTCTATTTGGAACCTGTTAGCGTTGAAATCAATACCTTCGGTTAATTACCGATTCTATGTTTAACGAAAAGTCATGGATATTGTTAGAAAACTATTTATACAAACGTTAAATTATAACGTTTGCCTATCGATTTTATTCATAATTCAAATCTTTCGAAGAAAATTATTTAAATTTTTGTTAGAGTTTGCTTATAGGAAGTAATATTTACTATCGCGGTCGGATTAAAATACCGAAAATTCCCAATTCATATGATTCAATAGCAAATATAATTTTCAAGTTGTGACGAACGTGTAAATATACATATTTATGATTCGAAATACAGAAAATGGCGTAATTTACGATTTTGTTTTTCCTTTCTATTTTTTTCTCTTTTCATGTTGTTAGAAATAACGTTTTGCAGCAGAAAAAAAAAATGAATGACTGGATTTGCTGTATTTAGTAACATAAATATGTATATTGCGCTATTCGTAAGCCACAAATGACATTTGCCTTTGAATTACGCTTATAAATAATCCAATTGAAGTTTAAAATGTTTGGCTCCCTTTATTTATCCTCATAATCTCTTATTAATTATTGACACTTTAATAATTTAGTTACTGACATTTTTTAATTCTCACTCGTAGCGTTTATTTTTCACAATAATATGCCGCGTTCTTAAAAATTATGGGCTGTACAAACATGGGGTGACGAGCCCTTAAGGGCCAAGAGGACGCGGCGTCAATCATTAATAAGCAATTCAAACGATTAAAACGATAATTTTCTTGATTGCAGCAGCAAAAATTCCTTAAGCGGACAGCTGAGGAGTTGGAGTCGTCTGGCGGTGGTAGCAATGACGGAGGTTTTGGCGAGCCCTCGGTTAAGTTGCAGTGCACACAGTCCTTGAGCGCGAGTGTTCCCCACCATGGTCATGCCCAGCATCAGTCCGGTAACGCTGCATCCAATCCTGGGTCGAATAACAACGCCGGGGGGCCCGCACCCGGACCCCAGTCCCAACCACCACCTGGCCACCAAGGTTCGATTCGTTTTCTCCTCATTTTAAATGGGAAAAGAAAATTCTACATCAGAGGCCTCTCTTTTCAATAATTAATTTTCACAATTTAACGAACAAATCGTAGCTTTAGGCTTCTCTTGCCAACTAATTCGATTATCAACGAGGAGAAGCCTTTTTGCGTATAACTGCAGTTAAGCTATATAACTTTTAATATTAAAATAGACCTTCATGCAGAATGATTCTTTCCTACAAAACTAATTCAAAGTTTGTATTTCAAAACTGAATTCCAATCGCCTGAATTATTACGGTCCAACCCCTAAAAGAGGCATATCATTACATTTTCATTTTATTTCAAGACAATCTATGTATTTTATATTATATTATAATCAATTAGCTATACGAATTTTATATGCTTTGATTCATATCGTTTGTTAATACCTGAAGATTTAACTTTTTGTAGCGTGAGACAGTTATTTATGAAAAGTATGTTAAATAAAATGGGACGTTAATTCTGATAAAAATGTTTATATTATAATTTATTTTATCTTACACTGTTTGTAAATTTTGATTGGCTATTGTAAGTCTTTATTGAAGTCAAAAAGTCATTGCAGTAATTATAATTGTTGTAATTGAAATAAGTGAATTTCTATCTATATATTAACATAGTTTCTATGGCTTGAAAATTAAAAATTAATTTTTTACAATTGCTAAAATATATGCGAATAAATAATTTTTTTCTTATCTTACTATTGAAGTACTTTTAATATCGAAAGTAATTGGAAATTTTTTTTCTTTTTTTTTGTATTTCTTCAAACTTTATAATATTTATAAAAGTAGTCATATATTATGAATGATTCTGTATATAAACTTTAATCATATCGTACGTTAGTAATTTTTAAATTAGTGTTTAGTGTAAAAAAAAAAGAAAAAAAATTAAACAATTTCTATGCACGTATTAAATGCGCCTATTCATACACAAAATAAATTATATATGTTTTTAGTTTTATCGTGTAAGAACGAATCGCTCGATCGAAGAGATAAATTTATATTATTCTTAATTATAATCGTATTATTTGCACTTAAGAATTTTGATTCTAGTATTATGAAATCAAATATTACAAAATGATTAAATTTTTATGTGCCATGAATAATTTATTGTAACTCATTTTATTTAACTGGAATTCTCATTTATGAAAAAATAAGAATTGTTATATTCTTGTTATTAGTATTTTATAATGTGATTGGATAAATAAAATATATTTAACTTAAAGATTCAAAAATCTTATTTAATCAATCGATTGTTTTTGATAACACAATTATATAAAGCTACGATTATTCATTGTTTTTATATAAGTTAATAAGAAAATTTTTCTCTCGTAATTAATTTTTATTTGAGTTAACTAATTTATTATAAACTCCACATTCAAAGTTTCTGGTAAAAATGTCGGTTCTTAGAATAAAATACCGAATGCAGACACATTAATATTATACGTTCACCTTGATTTTTTTAAACCTAGCCAAATTAGCATTATGTTTATAAAACTTGTAAAGTTATTTATTCTGTAGAATATAATGGAATTATAAAGTAATTATATAGACGAAGTGACCTTATGATGATGTAATTTTCTGATATTTTGATAATAAATTATTTAAAATAATCTAATGTATTGGTAAGAGATTATTGTGTAACCATTCTTTAATACATGTTTAGTCCATCGACTTGTTAGCATTAAATTGTTTATTTATATTAAATACGCATAAAGCAAATAGTCTCATTATTAGATTAGTTTGTCAACTAAATGCTTTTTTTTTTTTTTTTTTTTTTTTTTTTTTTTTTTTTTATTTTCAACAAATCCGAGGATCTTGAGCAGACGTTAAATATTTGATTATTCCATTGCAGGTGGAGCTGGAAATGGTGGTGGTGGCACAACAGAGGGACTTACGAAATTCTCGGTGGAGATTGTGCAGCAACTCGAGTTCACTACCTCGGCTGCGAACTCACAAGCCCAGCAAATTTCGACGAACGTGACGGTAAAGGCATTGACGAATGCCTCGGTTAAGAGTGACCTAGTGAATGCTTCAGCCTCGCCCAAAAACGAGCCAAAAGTTGCAACGAACGGAGCGACGACCGCACCAACGAGCGTCCCGACAGCTCCTGCACCAACCTCGAACCCCGCTGATATGATAAGCAGCCTCGTCGAGTGCAAACAGGAACCAGACAATGATTTTGACCTTGAGCAGTGTGCAGCAGCCCTTGAGAAAGATCCCTGTTTTCCGGGATTCGTCGTCGATTTCATGGGTGATGAGGCAGCTGATGATGACGCATTCAAAGACCTTATATCCGAAATATCGGACTTCCATCCCCAGATGGATTTTATCAAGGATCTCGACTTTGAGGAGAAGGCCCTCGATGGTCCTGGCAATGGTCATATCAAACTCGAAGACGACAAAGAGCAGGTACATGCAGCTCTTCATGCTCAACAGCAACAGCAGCAGCAACAACAACAGCAACAGCAACAGCAACAGCAACAGCAACAGCAGCAGCAACAGCAACAGCAACAGCAGCAACAACAACAGCAACAGCAGCAGCAGCAGCAGCAACAACAGCAGCAGCAGCAACAACAAGGCCCTCTGGGTACACAATATTCACCGGCGGCACGATTGCCTTACTCGGGACTTGACTTCAAATCAGAGATGAGTCCAGCGGCCCAGACTCTTAAACAAATGGCCGAGCAACATCAGCACAAAAGCCAGCAATTGGGTATAACTGGATTCAGTCCCGCGGCGGTTCGGGGTCCAAGTGCGCGTTCGCCTTATGCGGAATTCGGTCAGTTCGGCGGCGGGCCACCGGACTACCTGGGCAGCCCCGGGCAGCCTGGCGGCGGCTTCCACAAGAGTAACGGTGCGGGTCCGGTACCAGGCCCCGTACCTTTCCAGACTCAGCAGCCAGATATGTTTGTACAGCAGCCACAGTTTGACATGGGCAAGAGGCCGGTTCCGCCCCAACAGACGGCCCCGGGGCCCCAAAAGTCGGGGACAATTTTGGGACCGGCGGGTCCGGGTTACAAACAGCAGTACTCGCCTTACGGTAGTCCAGGTTCGATGCCAAATCATGGCAGCCCGGGCTACCCCTTGCCACCTAGGATCTCGCAGGCCCAGAGTGCCGGACAGAACCCGGGCCCTCAAGGAAGTTTCAGCAACTCGACTCCTCCAAGGCCACCTTCGGGTTCCGGCACCTCAACCATACAGATCAATCAGGCGCAACAGCTGCATATCAGTAATCCCACTCACCAGATTCAGGTTGGTCCTCTCAATTCTCGTTAATGTGATTAGAGCTTTGAACGGAGGCGAACCGTGTTTACTACTGAAAATTGAAAGCTATTTTCACCTCCTTCGATTCTATTTCTGGGCGTCAAAATTCAGAATCTTTAATTTTATTTTCTCTTTTTGACATATTGACGAGTGTGATGATATGCGCGTGATAGCGTATTTTCTATCATCTCTGTGGATGCAAATGAGTTATACGCTCGGAATTTTAGAATTACGTATAAAAGCAGTGGCGAGTGAATTTTATCGTTTAATTATATTTTTAATTAGACGAGAGTAGAAGTTAATTAGAATATCATTGGTGCGATACTGTGAGTAATTATTTTCAAGTCAGTTGTTTGCTATAGTATAACAGACTTAAGCAATATCTATTCAGATTTATTTATTTATTTATTATACCCCCCCCCCCCACATATATAGGATCATTATCCAATTATGAATTCCAGTGCTCTAAAAATAGCAATGCAACAATGTTGATAAAATATAAGGATTTGAAATTAATTGCAAATCCATCTTAACATCCGGCTTTTAAAATTGCGAAGGGAAAGGCAATATTAAACTTAGACTATTCTTACTGGGCTTTGCGGATAAAGAGCTGACGAGCTCCATAAACACACAAGTGAAAATAAAAAGAGCGCGCGGACAGTGTAATGGTACGCCGAGGCATCCCCGGTAACAATTGAAAAGAAAAGAGGGGAAACAAACTCGGTCAGTCTCGCTCGCAAGCATACGGCTTGAAAAAAAAAGAACGAAAGAAAAAAAAATGAAATCGGTGACACGTAGTGGCGATCTACCGCTCACGGCGCTCTACTCGAGATCGAAAGTGAGAGTAAAGTAAGAATAAAAGACGGCGACAGACGGAAGCTGCGGCGAAAAAGGAAGAATAAAAAATGTAGTCGACAAAGCTCAGCATCCTGTCGATATATTCCTCGACAGTGCTTGGGAGACGCTTTCCATGCCCCTGTCTTGGTTAAATCGAGCGGGCAATGACGTCGCCATGCGTCTGCGCGCCAACGCGCTACTGGGAGATACGAAGTATGGACAGAACAAGCAAATTTTCAAAAGGGGGGTGTGAGAGAGCCAGCGAACGAACAACTTGTTGCGCGCCACGACGCGCAGTCCCCGTTTATGCTCTCTCTGTTTTATTCGCTCCTCCTCCTCCTCCTCCTCCCGACTCGACTACTCGGCACACTATCGACGCGGTGTCCCTTCCACCCTGGCGGCTATATAGTACGGGAGGGCGCGCACAATCCTACGCGGCGCCGCGTATCAAGCCCGAAAATAGAGCGGCTTCTCGTGCCGTCGACCTTCCATCACAGCCTTTCTTTTCATTCCCGATGCCATTCTAGTTGATGGATGAATCTCACGAGGATTTAACCTCCTTTGCACTTGTGCAATGCGCGATAATCAAGAGCCCAATCAAATCAACCAAGTCCTTTTCGAGGTTGCCTCCTGTATATCCCCCCCCCCCCATCCCTCCACCTT